GTCTGCTCCTTGTTTGAGATGAAAGTTTCAATTATATTGAAATGGAAGGAGTATCAGACCACTGCAAATCTACGAAGACCCGGCTTTTGGAAAAAATCAAATTTGTGAAAAATGTGAGAATTATGAAATCGAATGAGATTGTGAGAGTTCCAGCAGCACATGAATTATATTTTCATTATCAGCACAGTCTGTACAAGACTTTTATAATACGTATTGGGAGAAACAAATTAAATGTAGTTTTGAAACTTGAATATTGAGCTGAAGGATCAAAATAATTTTTAAGGCCAAAGTCTGTCATAGGTGACTTTAATGAAAATCAATTTAAAATCATCCAAAGCAGGAAATAAAATTGAGATTTTAAATTTTTGCCATATCGCCCAGCCCTACCCTGAAATAATGTAATCATTCTATTCGTCTCTCTCTCCACTGAGTTGGCATTTATTATTTACACAATACTGGAAGTGTACTGAAATCTGCTGCAGGATTGAGTTTCTAAACCTGAAAGTCTTGCTCCTATCACCAGAGTTTGTGTTTATCCTGTGTGTCGTGAGAAAATGTGTGTGTTTGAACTTATGCAAATGGCTACAGTAAGGTTGTGCTCACCCGGAAGCCCTGGCACTTTCTGAACTTTGGATTAGGTGGGGCCTGCGTGTTAATGAATGGGCAAAAGAAGTGTAGCCTCCAGTTTAGTTAGTCCAGTTAATTTTCACAAATCTCCATAATCTATGTGGCAATATGTCAAAACATGATTACATGATAATATGTGCTTTGATACAGTCAGCATTTCTTTAATTCTGTAACTAGTGCTAAAACCAGTTTGTATAATTGCTTGCTTGTAATGTTTCATTTAAGGCTGTAACAAGTTTGCAAAAATTAGTTAACAACTCTAGTATTAGTTGCAATGGATTTCAATTCATTATTTTTTCTCTATGAAGATTATGGCAACACTGCATGTGAAAGCCAGATCCTCAGACTTCTTGTAGCTAAGCAGGGCCTTGTTAGTACTGGGATGGGAGACCTCAGGGAACACTAGGTGTTACAGTGGGGTGACTGCGGCCAAACTGTTGGTGTGACCTGAGGCAAGACACTTCACCCACATTGCCTAGTTTGAATCTAGTGTGCCCCAGGGCATCTCTGGCTACAGTAATAGTTTACCACCACTGCACAATATAAAACCGATGCATTATTAGTTTTTCAAATGTATAAACAAAATCCCATATTCTCCTTTTATGGATGAGCAATTACTGTACTTGATTGATTGGATTACGCCAAATGAATAATTTGCCCAACTAATTGATTATGAAAACAGTCATTAATTACAACCCTTGTCCAAAATTTAAAGCACTTAAAAAAACTCTACATCGTTCTTCTGCTCTTGATCTGTGTGCTTCTGTAATGTGCTTTTTCACCAACTCACACACGCCATCTGCTTGTCCTCAGAGTGAAGGCCAGCCCAGTTCAGGCGACACCTGAGAAAACGCTGGGTTTGGACCGACTCCGAACTCCTGCTTGTGAATTATTTGTGAATTCAAACTAAGATCAGCTTGTGTGTGTATTTGTGTGCAGTGTTTCCCACAGGTTTGAAGGCAATGTGTGGTGGTCGTCGGCGGGGGGGGGGGGCGCTGGTCGGCCGGCAAAAATTAACAATGACATCGTTAATTGGTCAAATACAGCTTTATTGGACTGATCAAAATATCAAACATTATTCACACGCTGTATATTACACTATAAATACCGTTAACGCTGTATAAACCTACTTGTTGCAAAAAATAACATTATTCACACGCTGTATAAACACTGTATTACACTATAAATACTGTTAACGCTGTATAAACCTACTTGTTGCAAAGTTTGCATGTTTTATCAGAGCACCTGATTTTTCGGGGCTGGCGAAAAAAAGATTTTAATGCCATATCATAAGGGAAGTCCTCAGGACAGGGTCCATTGATGGAGATCCTCAAGCAAGCTGCCAGGTGTTCTTGCAGTTTGTTCCTGAGGTCTGTTTTCACCTGGAGATAAAGCAAAATGATAAATTATTATCAATGCAAAATGCACCAATATAAAGACAATGAGAATTTTTTATTGCTATTACCCTGTTCATTGCAGAGAAATCCCGTTCACAGTTCACAGAGGAAACAGGGATAACCAAAGCAATGCTTGCCAGAAGGCTCAGGCAGGGGTAGAGGTTGGCCCACTCATCAAACTCACTTGCCAGTAAACACAAGAGCTCCTCCTGGTTCTTGTTCTTGAAAGATAAGGGTTTGTCGTGGCATTAGTGTGTGTGTGTGTGTGTGTGTCAGGTCAATTCACTGACCTTGAATATAATATTGAATATAATCAATTCTATCTCGTTCTCTCCCTGACCCTGTCTTTCTGCTTGAGCAGCACTGGTTGAAGCCTGAAAATATTGTAAACAACTTGTATAGCTAATTACACTGCGGACTGTTTCAGACCGATACCTCTGGTTCAGGCTGATCCTCATCCTCAACGCGTGTCTTTTTCAATCGCGGAAAATATTGTTCAATACTCATCTGGATTGAAGCAGCAAACATTCAGTGTAAGAGTAAAAAAATGACATAACGTTACTTATAACTTTATTTCTTGCTACAGCTGCTACAGTGTTTTGACCCCGACAACCCAACTACATACCGCAAACTTGCGACTAATTAACTTTATAAAGAAAGCGTCATCGCTTGTTAAGGGAGTCGGGACGGAAATTCAACATTGACACTGAACATTCAGCACTTTTTAATGTGTGATTTACGAGATCACGGGATACCAACCTTTAGTGAACTTCACCAGCCGTCTTCTCTGCACCAAAATTAATAGACACAGCTGCTTACAGCGATGATCGCTGATGGAGACGGAGACACGCGGTGTGCACGAAGGGGAGGGGCTGTGTGTGTAGGTCTCTGTATGTGGGAGAGACGCGTAGCTTGAGTGAGAGTTACGAAGGGCCGCCACATTTTAAACCCCCCTCCCCGCTGTCAAATTGACCGCTGCGGCGGCACTAGACGATGCATGTTTTAAATAGCGTAACAAAAAAAAAATATATATAATAATACGAAACGCAATTTGTGGCGGGCGGTCTCTAATCTGTGGCGGTGCGCCACAGATTAGTCTATGTGTGGGAAACACTGGTGTGTGTGCGTGCCTGTGTGTGTAGGTACAGTATGAAAAAGGCCAATGTGTGTTTGAAAATGAACCTAAATCTTAGATTAATTTAGATAATTCCCCAAGTGGAGTCTCATCCAGTGCCCTTTTTAGTTGTGTTCTGGCTTTATGTAAACTAAACCAGTCGATTTAATTCGTAACCTAAATGGAACAGCCTTTGTGATTATATTAAGCGAGTTGTTTGTATCGCAATGATGTGACAGCCACAGCCATTTTAAGAAGTGTGTGCCTTTGCTTGTTTACTACATATCCCGGAGGAATCCCCAAATCTTTCCTTTCTCTGTAATTTCACTGGACAGTTCCAAGTAAAATTACTCACAAGGGTGATTAACTTCTGTTATGTGGCAATAAGCAGCGCGGGCCATGGGGCACCAGGTCTGTTTTGCTATCGATGCTGCGATCTAAAGCTGGATTTCTGTCATGCATGGAAATACAAATCTAACTCATTCAAGGGTGTATGAATTTCCAGCGTTTAGAGCCTCGAAGTTGCTCTCTAAAACCAAGCAGTTAATCTTTGCATCGTCACTTTGAAGCTAATGGTTTATTGAAGAATCTTTATTCATAACTTGGAGTCAATGCTGCCTTAAAACTGCTCTTAGATCTACTTTCATCAGTTGCGAAATACTCCCTCTTCAGATACAAGCTCTACTGTGACCTTGTTCTGCAAAGATAATTGCCATAAACGGAAAATAAGTGAAATTAATAAAATGTATAATGTTAACCCTTTAATAGATTGCAGATTAGAAGGAGCTATTTTGTTGAAATTGTGTTGATTTGAAGTTACGCTCGATTTTTTTCATTATCAGTGTCATCTCTCATGCTATGCCACTGTCCTTTACAAACATACAAACCCATTCCTCAAAGAAAATGCATCAACGCCTCTGTAAATCTTCTTCTCCATGGTGGAGAAGCACCAGCGCTGTTGATGCGGTGCGTGTTAATGGCAAGTTATTGGAGATCATGTTGTCTGGTCATTTTGCAATAAAAGTTGAGGTAAATATTCGTTTTGCATTGGTGCAAGACCTTTGTCTTGTCAGTAAACGCCAATGACATTTAATCATCTAAAATTTTTTACTAAATGCTAGTTTATGTGGCTAGTTTAAATGGTATTTTCATTAAGTAGTCCATTAATTGTTTTTGTAGCTTACATAGATTTAAACTGGCTGCGAAGAGGCTTTATGACTCATATTCTACAATGACAACACAATGAAAGTAAAATTATTGGTAAGTATTTTCAATGTGTCGGTCATCTCTATGAAGCTGTTCTCCAGGGACATCGCTTGCGTTTTGTTTAGGTCAGTTGTATCAAATCCTATATTCATTGACCTTCTGGATTGATTATTCTTTTGATAAATCGATTATTAATATAGTAGTTAATTACAGTCCTATCCTTATTTATCCTTCAATGCTGTCTGGTTTGGTTTATTCACAGAACACATAATTTGATTTTCAGTCATCAATCCCACTGTTTCATAAAAACTCCCAAAGAGCAGTCATAATCTGGTATGTTATGTGTGATGTGGCTTCAGTGTTATGTGGAGCTTCGGTTCCTTTTCTGTGTTCATGTGCACAAAGACAAAACCCCCCAAACAAGTTTGACGAGAGCGCACCTGACCCAATGTCCCACATCAAGGACATCCACACATGCGGAGTGGCCCTGACCCTCTGAGCTCTGTTTGAAGAGTGAAGACCAAAGTCATATTTACACTGGTGTCATGACATGTTTTTAAGTAGTTTTAATGAATGATAACCTGCATCTTTAAACATTGGCTTTTCTCACCACTCAGCTTTCTTACTATTCTGCATTTTTTATGTGTTTTTTACAGAAATTCTTTCTTGGGACACACACTTAAAGACAAGTTCAAGGAAATCAATGGTTTTCGCAGGAAGTAAGTAACAAAGTACTCAATTGCAATTATAGACAATGTTCACAGTAAATGTTTTATACTGTGAAAGACTCCTGACCTTCAAAGTACAGAACTTTGTACACTACCAATCACACCTCACCTTCTCAAATTGTACTTATCACACATTTCACTATGCTTTGGAGAAAATAAAGAAATGAATTGTCAAAGTTTCCACATTGAGCCATTTCATTTTATGACAAAATATCTGTCATAAAGAAGTCCGCCACCTGTCGGATGCATCCAGGACAACTCCCCGATGAGGTGTTCCAGACAAGTCCCACCAGGAGGAAGTCCCAGGGAAGACTCAGAACACACTGTGGGGGACTGTGGTAATCAGCTACTGGGATTCACCCAAATAAGCTAGAGGAAGTGTGTGCGGATAGGAAAGTGAGGGGCCTCTATGTCGTCACTGCTGTCACTGCTTCCCTCGGATAAATAGATGGACACAATGTCTGAAATCATTTTCAGACAGATAGTGTATTGGTTGCTGAATACAATTAGTTTATAAGTCAAGAGTTTTCCCTCATAAATATGTACAGCTTTCATTTTCCTAATTTTTTCAAGGCTGATGTGCTGAAGTAAAGATTAATCTGTCTTTCATCTTCTTTCTTTAGGATCCCGTGCCTCCTGATTTTTTTTTTTTTTAACACTGTCATGGAAAATCCTGGTAAGAGCATAACTATTTTATTTTAATTCCAACAATTATTAATATATATGACTATAATAATTAGGGCTGGGGAAATCTTGCTCTAACTCTATTTTCTTTGATCTTGATATACAACCTGTGGCGGCTGAGGGTGCTTCGTACTGGCTTTGCTCCCCGTCCCTGAGTTCTTCTTTCTAAACCGTCACCATGATGCCTCTTCATTCTGTGCATATGTCCGTAACATACATTCCTTACATACAGTCATTTATCTTCATCCCTTTTGTCCATTTCTGGGTCGGGGGAAGGGTGGCAATTAGAGCTGCCACCCGATTCACAGATCACCAGCCCCTCACTGATCCTCCTGCAGGTGGTGGGTCCACAGGAGGCTGGCTGCTCCTGTGTCCGTAACACAAAATTGAGATTGGGATCTTTAAATTTTGACATAGAAACAAACCTATTGCCTAAACACACAATCTTAACACAATTATTGCAATCAAGAGCCGACACGACCACTACAATGAAACAAACAAAATGAATGAGAGCCGGACTGTCTAAAATTGCTCAAAAATGACATTCAAAAATTCCTTCTAAAACACCCACAAATCTCCAAACATCTTGTAGATCATCAAAAAACAATCTCAAATAGCGCCTGAACTGAAAGCTGTATACATACATACACAATGTAATTTTGAAAGTCTTGCTCTATATGATATGTAAAACATATTTTTCATCGGTTCTATTAGTTTCATAGCTTTCTTTTTGAATTTCTCAACCCCAAACAACTGGAAATTGCCGTCCTCCTACCCTTGCTTTGGTTTGTTTTTATTTAGATCCCCATTACTGTAGCTTCTGAACTATTTACCTGACATTAGTCATCTGTTATTTCTGAATGACTTAGCACAGCAGTAACTCTTGTTTATTTTTGGTTAAAACTGGCCCTTTCCCTAAATCTTGTGTGTGCATGTGGTTCTTGATGCTCTCATGTCTAATCTATGTGTTCGAAGGGAAGGTTTAAGTGCTGTGAAACTTGTGTGAGGTTAATCATAGTATCATGATGTGGTGAGTCAACACACTGTGCTCTCAGGTGTGGAGTTGTTTGTTTAGGGGCGGGACCACATTCAAAGTCTTGCATTGTGATTGGCTGAGGTACAGAGAGCACAGCCGTACATGTGGTTCAACACTCACTAAGGCCAGATTCATTTGACACTCGGCAGCATTCTTGTTTAGACATGGCAGTGCAGTCGGCTTATAGTTGTAAGTATTTTCATCCACTTGATATTCTTAAAAAGTATTCAATTGTAGATGAGAACATATATTCAGTTGGGCGAATCTACTTCAATAACTTGTGAACACTAGATATCTGTACTTTTTTAGATCAGCTTTATTAGACACCTGCTTGCCTAACATTAAGGATAAACTTTAGTTATTTTTTCATGATTGGAAGATAGAAAAATGGCTGACGGTGGACAGTGTTGTTGCCTTTGTCATGCTGAATGTAGGACATGCTGATTTGATGAGTCATCAGATAGTATCAGCGATGGAGGTAGGTCTGGATTGGACGTGACGTATTGTGAATGAGTTTGTCTCCATCTGCTGCCATTCTATTGAAAGAGCCCTCTACGCTCTTTGAAATCCGAGATTAAAGGATGTAAAAAGTCTTTGGACTGCGGCTGTTTGGTGTTCTTCCAGGTTGTCCATGATACATTTTTACTCAAGCTGTTGCATTCCACACATTCCCAAGTTGATTTGTGCAGTAGCTTTGTTTAAACTCTAGAGGGAGCAAAAGATTGGAAGTTGATGCATTGAGAGCAATTATCCTGCTGTTGGGCTATTTAATTTGTAGGGAAATCTCTTGTGTGTTTTTTTATAAAATTATTCTTGATATAGATGCATTGCTTTTCATTCTTGTCTGTCAAAAATTTGAATTGTTCAGAAATAGAATATTTAAAAGATCTCTCAAAAAAAACCAAGATTCCATTTGTGACTGCTTGAATCCCTATTACAATCCAAACAAATTATACAGGGCAGTTTTTTCAGTGGCCTTCCACACGCAAAGTTAAGCTTTAACCGTCTGTTTTTGTATGAGGCTGTGTTTGATTAGTCTTCAAAAGGCCAGTCCTGGCTCAAGTGTGAGCCTTGGTTCTCTGGTTTTATAAGCTTGTAAGTGAAGTACAAGAATGTTTATCCTTATCTCTGTCATCTGTTTGAAGTACTTTAAACTCCCTTTGTTGATCTTTATACCATCAGAGTTGTATGATGTAGTAGTTTCCTGTTTCCAGTTTAAAGGGACCCTCCCGTCGTGTCACTGTACACCTGCTTGGTGTCACTTCCTCCTCTCTGGCTCAAAGCTCCACCTTGGCTGTGCTCACCTTCCACTTCTCATGTTACCTCAGTCAACAGAGCCCGCCCATCAGCCTTCAGGGAGCACTGTTTTGCCAAGCGCAGCATTGTTCAAAGGGGGGCCGCAGTGGGTCTGCAATTCTCCCAAGACTTGATGGCTGCTCCGGCCAGATCTCGAAGCATGATTGCTGTGAACTTTGCCCCTGAAAAATCTGCTCTCTGGAATGAAAGGCATCCTAGACTGCTGGATTACCTTTTTTGCGTACCTTATTTATGAAGTCAGAGCTCCAAGAAGGAGGGACTTGAGAACTGAGCAAGTGACTGTGTTTGTATACTTTGTGAGGAAGGGAGGGAAGCAGACCCCATAACACGGTTCTAGAGGCAGGACTTCACGGAGCACAAACTTGCAGACACAAGTGAGCAGTTAAGACGCTTACGTTTCTTAAGTTGTTTTGCTGTGAAAGAGAAGTGGCTTTTGGTTTTCTTTTCCCACTGGGGCCCGGGAAGAGGCAGGGCCTGGGAGGCCAGCTGGGATTGCTGTCGTAGCATGGGACAAAGTGCTAGCAGTGAGACTGTGACCCAGCAACCAGGCCTACACAACACGGGTGAGTTGCAGTAAAAAAGTGGTGCTGAGTTTATTGAACAAGCAAAATGAACATGGATAGATTTGTGATGGTGTGTTGGTTGTGTTGAAGCTCTGAGTTGTGAGCAGGTGTTGGAGCTGAAACTGCATAGCGGCAGGCGCAGACAGGTGTAGAAGAATGTATGCAGATGGAATGTGGTGATTGTGAAATGAACAAACCACACTAACTTCTCTGTCTGCCCGCTTCTCCTTGCATTAACCCGTCGGTACTCGCTACATGGAGCACAATGGCACCAGCTGACACTGTTCCATATGGACAAAAAGATCTTGAAGGAGTGTGTGAAGAGCTGACATTGTTTTGTGTATGTAACAAAAAAGTCAAGTGTAGACTTTTCTTCAGGTTAATACAACTTAAAAATTCAATCCACTTTAAACTACTTAAACATGGTTACTATGACTGTAACCATGCAGGAACCTGTCTCTTAGATAAACACGGTTTAACATCTTCCTGGTTATATGGCGGTCTAAAAGCTGCCTTAGTCAGTATGACATTTTTTTTTTTTTTTTGAGTTGTCATGTGGGGGGCAAGAAGCAGTGATTGGGACAGACATGACATTTGTTTCAAATGTCTGAAAGTAGTAGTCGTTGGTCTGATTACTCGTATGGATATACTAAAAAGACGTTTTTCCTAAGTTTTGTGTTGTTGATGATGATCTCTGGGGGTTCTTTGTATCTTTGTAAATAGTTTTTTTGTATGTTTTTGAAAAGAAATGAGATATTTTGTTATTTTATCTTACTATATTTTTCATTCCCTGAAATGTATTGGTCCGTAGCTCACCTTCAGCATCAGGGTCTTTGAACGAATGATCATTCTCACGCCATCATACTTGGATTTCTCCTTTGTCAAACCAGATCAGCCCACCCTTCTCATTTTAACAGCCACCTGTGTCCGGCTAATGTGTCAGGAATAGCTACGCCACGCAGAGTTCAATGACCCCTTTGGGCATGAGATTTCACACATACTACAGACAACATGTCCACTCGGAGGATAGGAAATGACTTAAAAGAAATACTGGAATGTATTTAAAAAATAAATGAAATAAATAAATAAATATATATATATATTCAACTAAATGTTTAGTTAAAGATGTAAGTTGAGCAAAGTTACACTTCAGTTATAACGAATGAATACACATAAGCTGTACTGTATGTCTTCCAATGATATGGTGCACACATCCCTGAGCGGCAGAGCAATATCTATTTGACCAAAGAAATGTATTTGATCTTCCGTCAGGATGAATAATTGATGGAGTTCATATTATTGACGATTCGATGGGTTTAGAACTTTGGCAAACATCAGCATTGACCCTTAATATGGAAATCTGTGCTCATGGCCTGAATGATTGTTGCTTCACTGCACACAACAGATCATGTGCGTATAATTGCAACGGATCCCAATCCAGATCGTGGAAATCTGATGTATGAATATAACACATGTCTCAGATGCACCATCATTTGTCAGCAACAGTGCGCACTGTCAGATCAAATAATCCTGACTGATCACAGTTTAGCCTTGAGTGCTGAGTCTTCCACAGGCCCCGACATGGCTGTTCAGTGGGCAATAACAGATTATTCTCTATCAGGGAGCCGTCTGTTGCTCTCCAGCAGGTCACAAGGGAGAAATATCCCTTTAAAAACATCATTCTGAAACATGGTTTTAAAATGGCTTCTGCGCAGTGATGGAAAAGTCACATTCCCGTCCTACATTTCATCTGTGTGTCTTTTGCAAAGCAGACACAATGAAACTATAGTTTGGTTGCCCTTTAAGAGTCGTACACTTTTATGACTATGAACTATAACAGCTTGTCATTTTTGTTTCCGAAATGTGTTTTGCGCAGAAGAGTTGTCATGACGATAAGCCGTAGTTAGCCCTAATATTAGCATAATGTGGCATGTAACAAGTGGGGGGCCACTTTTTACATGCCACATTATGCTAACAGTATGCTGCTGTGTTGAGTGACTACCTGTTTGCAACTCATCACCTGAGAATTGCAACCGACCACCCTTAGTGTATATTTGTTTTGTCTGGGCTTACATTCTTGTAATATAAAGAAAATAATTCTTGATGTTTTTGAATTCAAAACAATTTATTTGACAAATTGTAGTTTAACGTTGGTCCTGCCGATTATAACTGGACGTGGTATCTGTCTCATGAAAATATTATTGTCCTGAAATACATTTTGTGTTCGTCCAGATGATGGTGTCAACCTGGAGAATAACACGACAGGAGGGGAAGAGGGAAATTCTGGTGGAGGAACTCCTCCAGCCAAACGCAAAGGCAAATTCTCTAAAGTTGGAAATATCTTCAAACCTTGGAAATGGAGAAAGAAGAAGCCCAGCGAGAAGTTTGCTGAAACATCTATAGGTCTGGTGACTTTCTGTTTTTTTATTCAAATGATCTTAGTATGGTTTTTAGTGAATAGAGTTTACAATGTATGTTGCAGCCTTGGAAAGGAGGATTTCTGTACGGAAGAGTCGTCAGGAGCTCATTGCAAGAGGAGTGCTAAAGGAAATACCTGAGAATGGTAAGATCGTTAAAGATGGTATAATAATGTATTCAATATACACAATTGTTTATCTACTTATGAGTCGGTAGATAATATGTTTGTTAGGTTCTTAACATCGATGAATTGATCACATTGCAACACATTAACCAATTCAGCTAGTTCACCCAGTCTTGTCTAACCTATTCACCTATACATTTAATTTCAAATACACGCCACTGCCAGCACTCATGCACACACGAACATTTATGGACCTTTATGGACATGGGTCATCCTGCTCAATAAAGGGTGAAACAGTGTTTAGCGCTTGTGGCAAGAAGGTTCAGGGTTCATTTCCACCTACAGACCTTTCTTGTAGAGTTTGCATTTTATCTCTCTGGGGCCAGGACTCTCCATAAAAGGAGATTCTGTAATCTTAGTGGGACTTCCCTGCTTAAGATCAGATTCATTTATTTGCCATTTGCAGTACAACCACATTGGAATACATTTTTGAAAGTCCCCAGTGTGCACAAGGCAAGTGCATACATAAAACAACATTAAAAGTACAGAAAGAAAGCATGGACCTATGTCTGTTAATATTGCATTTCCTGTGTTCAAACGGTTTGGTTCTCTGATCTGTTTTTGGCGGATCAGCAACTTTGTAAAGTCCTCTAAGATCACTGATGTTGTGATATACACAAATAAATTGAATTTACTTGACACACACACGGTTTCATAAAATAGATAAAAATATGTTAAACCATTAAAAACATTATGCATTATAACATTATATATTTTATTTACAGAGAGCAACAATGTGAACCACAACAAAGTAAAAAATGGCCATCCTGTTCCCATGGATGTGGACCGGGTGTCGGAGGCCGGGTCCCGAGTGAACCGTGGAGAGTTGGACCTTAAAAACAATGCCCTGCATGGCCCCCAGGTAGAAGACCGCAGGTCCAGAATCCCATCTGACGCCTCCCGTTCCAACCGGGCCCCCTTGGACGTGGACACTCACGCACGGCTGTCTTTGGACGTAGACCGCCGCGTTCGCCTTCCCTCGGACGACAAGAGGGGACAATCTCAGGACGATAGATATAGGTACAGAGACGAGAGAAGGGACAAAGAGGACCCAGACCGACGCGACGACCTTCGAGACAAGCGAGACTTGAGGGACGACCGAGGGGACCGGAGAGACCGAGACGACAGGGACCGACGGGATCGGGACGAGCGCGAGCGAAAGGAACGAGAACGCAGAGATGACAGAGAGAAGCCTGAGAGAGACATAAAAGAAAGACGAGACAGAGACGAACGAGACAGGAGGGAACGGGACCGGGACGAACGGGAAAAAGGGGAGAGGGAAGAGCGAGAAAGAAGAGACCGAGAAGAGAGGGAGAGGAGGGATAAGGAGGATAAGGAGCGAAAAGAACGAGACGAGATGGAAAGGAGGGATAGAGAAGACCGAGAGATAAAAGAACGAGACGAGAGGGAGCGAGAGAGGAAAGAACGAGATGAAAAAGAGCGCAGAGAGAGAGAGGACAGGGACAAGAGAGAGGACAGGGACAAGAGAGAGGACAGGGACAAGAGAGAGGACAAGAGAGAGGACAGGGACAAGAGAGAGGACAAGAGAGAGGACCGGGACCGGCGACCAGAGAGAGACCGGAGAGACGAAGACCGGCAGAGGAGAGATGAGGGCAACCGGAGGAATGAGCGAGAGAAGAGAGAAGAGAGGGACAGGCGGGACAGGCCCGAGCCCCACTTTGAACCGGACACGAGGCCTCTGCTGCAAAAGAGCTCCTCAGAGGAAGCTCACCGGGCTCGGCCTGCGTCTGAAGCCTGCGCCCGGACCACCCTGCCTCGCTATGTGTCACCCACGGAGTTCAGGGACCGCTCAGGTGAGGAATCTGTCACCCATCTGTTAAACTGTCATTACATTGGAGCTATTTAGAATTGGCTATACATTGTATTATCAGGGATGCAAAGTAAAAGTGCACAATTGAGCATTGTGAATCAGAGCGATGGTCGTTTGTACCAAGTCTGGGAACACAACAAAACCATCCATCCATCTATCCATTTTCGTCCCCTTAATCCATTTCTGGGTCGGGGGGTGGCAGTCAGAGCTGCACCCAGTACACAGAGCACCAGCCCCTCACTGATCCTCCTGTAGGTGGTGATTCCACATGAGCTGAGATCTTTCAGTGGGGGCTTCAGGCAAAGTGGGGTTGAGTGTCTTGCCCAAGGACACAACAACAGCAGTCATCAGTGGGAGTCGTGAAGTAGATCTTATGGTGGGCTCAAACCTACAACCTTCAGGCTCAAAGGCCAATGCTCTACCAACTGAGCCACTGTCTCCCCTACAACAAAACTAGTTTTCAGTCATATCACCCAGCCCTCATGATGATTACTAATATTTTCTTCCACCAAAGAAAGATTAAAGATCATTTTTAGATTGTTTAAAGCTGACATTTATCCTCTCAACAGTTCTTTAACTCGTTGTCACTCTTGCGGTCAAAGCACTCCCTAGTTTCAGAAGTCTCATTTTCACCAGGATCTCATCTTTCAAGTCACCGCAGTTATTTGGCTCGCTCTAAGTCTAAGTGGTGAAGCTGTACCTTTGACTTTTAAGGCATTGATTGGTCAAAAGATAAAACGAGCTTATGCATGAAAGAAAACCATGGTTAATATAGTTTGGAATGACCCCTGATCCATGTGATATGAATATTGGATATTGTCGCAATGGCAATAGATGTTTTAATTTTATTTTTGTAATCTATCTGCACCTCTTTACTATCCTTTTGCTGTTGTTGTTGGAGTCTGGCATCTTGACTGGTATTTTCCCAAAGAATTCTATTTATATTTGTATCTGAATGATGGTTAGAATAATATGGCGGTTGCCATTTTGTTTGGTATCACTGGTGTTTATATTTTTAATTTAGAGTTATAATTGCACTGCAGCTTCATTTTCATTTAGATTGGGAAGGTGACCGACTAGGTGTCTAATGGGTAAAACCAATGAAAAAGTACACAGAGACTCGATCAATTAAAGCTAGCAGTCTGGTCTCAGACAACATTACTAATATTATGAATTGTCATCAAAAAGCGTGCCCCTTTTCTTAAGTTTTGTCACAAGATGATTGTCAATAGATGATTGAACGCCTCATAACTCATCAATCCGTACATACAGTTTCATCTTGGCTTTGGAAGTGAAAATAAAAAGGTGCAACGTTAGCATCAGATCCACGCCACAATAACGATCAGCCTAAAAAAGCCATTAGTGTACTCCTTAAAGCTGTCATTCTGGCCTCTGTAGCATGATTTTCACTGTATTTTTGCTTTCTGTGGACACTATCGCCTCTACATCACTTGACTTGAAAGAGATCCAGTTGCTAAGAGATGACACAGAACCCAGACCCATCAGCGCGCACCCTCGAGACCCTGTAATGCTGTTTGTTGTTTTTATCATATTCCCCAAACAACCTTTTTGTCCATGGATGAAAAATGTACACATGTTCAAATTCCACTTTGATGTGCGTCGTGTCTGAGCTGACCACTAGTCCTCTCTTATAATCTATTTCTGGTAGAATGGAAAACCTTTGCAAACATGTGACTTCCAGGTGCTATAAGGTACTCTGGTAAATGATTTATTGTCTCTGATGGCACTAGCTCTCCTAACATCATGGCCTTGACCGGTTTCTTTAATAACAAAAATGTCACTTACTTTAATATAAAACACGCCTGGTGAATAACAAGTCATTAGTCTGTCATTACGCTTTTGATCTGGTTCTGTGTCTGTAGTGGCGTGTGGACTGTTTTATGTGTTTCATCCGCTAATGACTGTCAAGCCTTTATCATATGTTAAAGTACGTGTTTCAAGGTTGAACAAAGTAGTCACTTTGAAAGGCAGCGTTGCAATTTCTCTGTGTACAACGGTTTGGAACAAATACAGTACCTTTGACTAACTGGATTGACAATGTAATACTAGCTACAGTCAGATCCATAAATATTGAGAAAAGAACACATTTCTCTCCTTTTTGTCTCTGGATAAATAAATGGGTAAGATTATCCGCGCACCAGCCCCTCACTGATCCTCCTGCAGGAGGTGTGTCCATAGGAGACTTGATCTTTCAGCGGGGGCTTCAGGAAAAGCGGGGTTAAGAGTCTTTCCCAAGGACACGAGGACAGCAGACATCAGTGGGAGACGTGAAGTAGGTCTCATGGTGGGCTCGAACCCACGACCTTCAGGCCCAAAGGCCAATGCTCTACCAACTGAGCCACTGTCGCCCTATATTTGAACTATATGTTAATATAGGATTTTCAGCTTTAATTTGTGAAGGGTGTCGGAATTACTTTGATTAAGTGGCCTACAGCTTTTAAGCCGCCAAAGTAGTGTAATGTGGTAAACTAACAATCATCGATCAGATTGTAATTCTTTTATTCAATTACAGCGTGAAGGTAGTTTAAGGTACATGTGATGCTCCAACAAGCCGCTGCCAGGCCTCAATGACTGTGGTGGTGTTCTCAGTTCTCAATGCATCCAGTTTGTAAAGGTTTAGGTGTGTTGTATAAAACGGAATATTATCTGCAAATTCTTAAAGAATGAGTGGATCAAATGTTACCCTTTAAACTAAGTTAGTAGTTGTTATTGTTGTTTGTGGCTAATTTCCCAAGCTCTTTCTGTTATGTTCTTTTCTTTCTATTGTGCCAGTAGTCAATATCTCTCTCTCTCAATATCTTTCTCTTCTAATTTTATGCACAAAAGTTTGAATTACAAAAACCTGAAACATACATGTTTTTCATTACTACCATGAACTATTCAAAATCATACACAGTACAATTAAGAATATTAGTCTGTTTTTCCTATAGTGATGCAAATGCAAATGTGGTCATATTTACATCAAAGAGGTAGATTGTTTTACTAGAATCACCAAATGCCACAGTCATTTCTTGTTATTTTGGAAAACCTAATGCATGAAGTGTATCCATGTTTGCTCACTGTCCCGCCATCTTTTTCTGTCTGCTTTCTTAGAGTCCGTCGGTGTCCGCTCCTCCAGAGACCCCCAACCGGACCGGCTGCCTCTGAAACAAGCCCTGATGCCTCCCACCTCCAAATACTCCTCCTCCGAGCCCCCCCAAGGCAGCACCCCCTTGTCCTTCTCCTCCTCCTCCTCGTCTTCGTCATCCTCTACCGCCTCCACCCCGTCCACCCCGCCAGCCCCCGCAGTCAAACCCCCGCGGACTGTCTCGCTCATTTTAAGCGACGAGCCACCCAGAGCCACCACGGGCCCGGACGGGGGCATGCCTCCCCCTGTCCCGCCTCACGCCAAGCAGCCCCCGCAGCCTCCCCCCAAACCTGCCAACCGCAACAGCGTCATCCCCGCCACCGGTGAGTGTCCCTTCTGCTGACCGCATCCTGTCTATGAAGTGCATTTGACCGGTTATTTTCTCTGTTTTAATGATCACTTTGTTTGGCAGGATAGATTCATAATGGTTTTACACAGGTCTGGAAGCAGCTTGTTGGCAGATGAAACACACACATCAACACATTTTAAGTTTAAAGATGCACCACCAACCATTCTGCTTTTTGTTTGGTTCTATCAAAATGGTTTTTTAGTCCTGAAATGTTTCACAGCATGGTTAAGAGGATCAGGACTGATAACAAGCAGCTCTCTCTGCTCTTTTCCCTGGGGTACCAACTTTTTGTTTCACAAGTTGTACATATCACCCAAAAGAAAGTCGTATAAAGGTAACATGTTGTGAACAAATGAAACTTTTTAGAAAGGGCTCCGCAGGTCACCCTTTGCGTGTCATTAGTAATTTATCACCACCGTGCATGGAAAGAAAGAATATAGCCGCAGTTCCCTTGGTACGCACACACCAGACTCATTCTAGAGAATGTGGGTGAAGTGTCTTGCCTAAGGACACAACGGCAACCCCACTGTGGCACCTCTTAAGACTCAGTGCTGATTGGCTGAGTAAGGGTGAGCCTCTTTTTCACTTAACTGTCAGAAAAAGCTGATCTAAAAAACATGCTTGTGAGACCAAACTGTCTTGAAAGCAACCCCACATTTTAACTGGGTTTTAGAGAAACTAATAGTCAAAGCTGTCATGTGCAGTTCCACACAATATGAAGTCAGAAGTCAAAGCTTTTCTTGTTTCGCTGGTGTGCTCTCACCTGTGTCATCGTGCAGCTTGGGTTACGAAAGAAGTAGCACATGTGTTGGTGCAGATTGTTTTGTCACTATCTCAGCTTTTATATCGTTTCTAATATTGATATCAGAATAATACAACATGCTCCACGGGCCTCAGGTGTTTATCAGGTAGTTATCGTCATGCACTTGCTTCTCAATCTACTCTAGTGCTGACGCGATACTAAAATACAAACATAATTTCAATACTACAGTGACGGAGAGCTTCTTGGTAGATTTAAGATTGTGTTATACCAGTTTTGATGTCAAAAACTGCTCAAAGGTTCTCTCATTTTCTCATGTTGATATCATTTATTGGAATTTATGTGAGCTTCTTGTATTCCCACAACTTTAAAAATTACATTTCGGTACAAGCTCAAAAGGAGTAGGCTCAGGTGAGGAGGCTTACCCTTCAGACTTTATCTACTGTAGTTTCGATTCTCTCTTTAGGATCGATTTTAATCTGATTTTTTTTTAATGCTTTTTACCAGCCCAAACAAGAAACACTTGGGGAACCGGGTCGCACAACAAGATCAATGATTGGCTATTAAAAAAAATGTGTGATTCCACAAATATACAGTACTTTAATGGAAAAATGGAGCAAAACCAATGATGCAGACAAGAAATCGTCCATATGCATGTAATTGTGCAATCCTCTCCAATCGTCTTGCACACCGCTCGCCGGCAGCACTACAGGCAGAGGCTTGTCTTCTTTGCCTCCCAACACTTCTCTGGAGACTTGATAGAATTTGATTGGCTTTTAGCAGCTCACATACAGTACTTTGTTCTAGCACGCTACAACCCCGCTCAGCCTCGCCGCCTCGCTCCACGCTGGAATGTTTTAGCGTCTCACACTCGCAGAGCAATTTGTCAGGTCAAAGTCCCGCGGATCTGTTACTGAATTGTCTTTCCAAGGCCAGCCGGGATTTGGCAACAGCGGCATGTCTACCCCACGGTTCTATTTACTGACTCATGCGTAGGGTTGTAAAGTCGGTGTCAGTATACATTGATTTATTTTTTTCCTCCCGCCACATCACAGTCCCTGTATTATCACGCTGTGGCTCTCATGGGCTTGAAAGAACAAAGTGTCTTCTATTTCTAATCATTGTGTTTTTCTCCCCCCTCTTGATGACAAGTTTGGAATCAGTCTCCAAACATAATACTAATTTACATCTCTATTTCTACCAGTTTTTTTCTTTCATCCATTCATCAATTTGGGGGTTATATTTCTTTTTTGATTAAATCCTCATTCCTCTCTCAAGCCTGTACACTAAGCAAGTCTGTAAATTCATGCAACAGTCTGTGCATTTGAAATGTGTGTCCTTATCTTTTAGATAATTCATGCTTAGTAATGCGTTCCTAGAGGTGTTTCATAAGGACATGATGGCCAAATTGCTATTTAGTGTTCATTTTCTCAACCGGGGAGTCATCCAATGATTAAATCTATTTGGCTGAGCAGTTGTAGGATATTTTTTTTAAACCTTGGAAATGGGAAAAAAATATTAACTAATTATTAATTGTTTGGAGGTTTTTCAGATGACTGGATTCAGTATTTATGCAAGGAAGTGATCTGCACCTCTTAGCGGAAGATTGTGCTCTACAAGTGTTCTTATTGTTTTTAACGTGCTTTTATTGCCATGAATCTAGCTGGTTCCTGTTGCAGCTCATGAGACGTGACCTGTCCAAACACATAGACAAAACCTTTTAGAACGGGTTGAGGCACCAGAAACTCTGGGTCAGCTGTTATTAGCCTGCTACATACTGCTAGCTACATAATCATATAATATATTGTTGGCCATAATTTGACACCATTTCTTGCATAAATTAGCAAATAGCCAGAAAGCTCAATTACATCATTTAACCTAACCACTTAAAAGAGAAATTGAAAATAATGGTCCTTGCTGTTTGGCCACATTTCCCTCGCCTCTGGCCTCAGCGATAACTGGTGCTAAACATTAGCCAGCTGCTCTGGTGTGTTCCTGTGCCCCTGTGGAATGTAAACACAGCCCCTCCTCCTGCCTTGTCCACAGCCTCCTCACTGCACAGAGGCCGCCTCAGGGTCAGGCCTCCGGCTCACTGGAGACGGCACCACGAGCTGGGACTGTACCTCTCCCTCCCTGCCTACCTCCACCACCACCGGCCTGGTCAGTGGTATGCTCAGGCATGCTCGCCGGACCATACCAAATAGAACCTGGGGAGTTTGAGCGGTCAGATCATTGAGGGCATGAAATTGGTTTGAAAAATAACTCGAGTTGACAGTAGCCAAAGTAGTTTGGTGGCTTTTTGTTCTCCCAACATCCACCTTTGCGCTCATAAAAGCTGTTCTAGGCAATCATTAATGCAACTCGACTCGGATATTTTCATAAATCTTACTTTGCAATGCTCCCTGTAATAACGTAAATTAAAATACTTTTATGCAAAAAACATTGTTTTCATGCCATTTTGATCTGACTGTTTAATCAAAACCACTGTTCCAAGTCCCCATGTCCATCCATAACACAGCAGTACTCCCTGTGGTCCTGTGTTCACCTTTAGCCTGTGTTGCATGAATCCACTGCTCCAATAACAGGCTGTCAACAACCATGCATGGTAGTTAACATAGAATATGTGTTTTTAATTGTAGAGTATGTCTAATCTAAAAATTGTACAATCGAACTGCTTCTTCTTAAACATGTCACATCATTAAAGCATTTTAAGTTAATTCCATGTAATAATTCATGTTTGTATTACCACTAACTTCATGTATAAGGCATCCCATTTCAACTAAAACATGCAAGAATACTGGACCGATAACCTGTAGATTTCATTGAAATTGTGAAAATGAAAATTGTATTGTCAAAAATTCTCTACACAATTGTGGATTTTAGGGTAAATAAAATGTTTATGGATCTGGGAAGTTCCATAAACTTCCTTGAGGAGATGATTATTTTCAGTCTCCCCAGGATGAATGTATCTAAAACATCTGCCCTTCATCCCCGCAGTCTGCATCAAATTGGTTGGAAAAAAAAATTGAACTTGGGATAAAGATCAGGGGTGTCAAACGTGCTGCAGGTTTTTATTCCAACCAAGCAGGAGCACAGCAGACTGGACAGGTTCAGACTGGACTCACTTGAAGTGGGTGGAGTCTGGTGTGCTTGGTTGGAATGAAAACCTACAGCCATACTGGCCCTTTTTGCAGCCAGTTTGACACCCCCAGTTTAGATATTGTGTGTAATTTCTGCTACTTTTAAAGATTTAAAAATGAAATTCAAATCTCCATTCTGGTCCAGTATTCTTTCACTATCTTCAATCCAAAACATGTAATAAGTTTTTGGTTTTTTTTCCACAGCGGATCATCCTCAGCCCGGCGTGATCGTCGTCGCGGCTCCTGCCAAACGCTCTCCCCCGACTCCGCCCAAAAGGACCACGCCTGTCACCAAGAGCCACTCCATGAACCCCAGCCCTCCTCCCCCCAGTCACATCCCAGAATCTCCCACCTCCAACCCGGCCCTGGCCCCTGTGCCTGTGCCTCCGCGGACAGACAGTTTAGAGGACAAACCCGCGCCCGCCGCTCCAATCCAGAGCGACACTTTGCCCTCGCCGCCGTCGCACATCCCCCCGTCTCCCCCTCGCACGCACTCCCTCCCCCCACCGCAGCCCGCGCCCCCTGCCGTTCAGACCGACCCCCCCAGCCCGACTACGGAGCCCCCCAGCCTGCCGCCCGCCATCCCGCTTCACATCCTCATCAAGATGGCGCTCCAGCCCCAGAACAGCCCCAGCCCCATGCCCAACCCCAACGGCTCGCAGAGGGCCCGCTCCCTGCTCTTCGAGACTCCCCCAGACATGTCCATGGAGGCTGGAGGCAACGCACGCTTCTCTCTGCCCGTCACCATCGAACCTCTCAGGCTGTAAGTAGGAGACTCACTCAAAATCATGTTAAAACTCATACGTTCAAGCAGATTTATAATTTATTGGACTCTCTGGATAATCTTAGCAGACCAACAAAGGTACGAGATCTCTGGAAATACTATACATTGGGGCTGGGCATTCTGGGAAACATTTTTTACGTTTTTTCTTTCTCCCCATATTGACCTTAATTTTCCAGCGACTTCAATTACATACAAAACAAAATAACAAAAACAGGACCTCAGGTTGTGCTAATTGTTCCTGTTTATTTCTTTTTGCTAGATTTTAGTTAATAAATCTATTTAGTTTTCAGTTGCCCAAATATTGTTGGAACACCCGGTCTTTATTGCCCGTGGCTTACAGCAGAGACAATAATGTAGTTCTGTTTATTCTCTTGTTTGACATGAAAGCTCGTACAGAGGCCATCGTTTGAGGACTAAACTTTTAAAGCTTGACACAGCCCTTTGTGCAAATACCAGGCTTAAATGACTAATTACGCTGTTCTTCAAAGACACGTACAAAACTGCACCTGTCTTTTTGAAAAGCAATGCCCTTTAGAGAGGATCTTTATTTGTCATTAGGATTATTTAGACATTTGTTTAACAAAATAAATTAAATTAAGAGCTTCCGATGAATTTTCCAGCTCTAGGTCAGTGGTGTCCAAACTGTTTTAGTAAGATGGCCACTTTAGTTACCAGGCTTGTGCAGGGGCCAGCAACCTGGATTGAAAAACTATTTTGACTGGTATTGGCTATTCTGATCTTAATAATTAGATATGTTTGTGTTGAACTTGGCTGAATAACAGAAGACCATCTCAGTGGCCTTAATGCCACCAAAGGAAGTTTGTCACAGAATAAATTACAAATCTCAGCATAAGTTTGTGTAAGCCCTCAGTCGTACAGGGATTAGTCAAAGCAAAGGAAGGTTTCTCACCCATCAACGTCACCCAACACCCAAAGGTGTATAAAAGAGTGCATCATGAAATGAACAGACCAGAGGCAGGATTGCAACAGTTCACATGAAATCGGCACTTTCCTGGGACCCCCCGGTGCCTGGAATAACATGCGTTTCCACTCTGCGTTTGAAGTTGTTATTTTAATGTAACAAAGTAAGACACTTTTGGCTCAGCGGTGGTCTGGAGCCGGAGCCGGGAGATGCAAGGTGCAGCAGTAGGAAAAGCAACCGTTGCCATGTGAACAGTTGGACTTTTGAAGTAGTGGTTAATTCGCCAACAGCACAGCCTTTTAGATGCTAACGTCAGTCTCTGCCAATTAGCCTGACGAAGCCGCAACGATTCATAACTAGCTTGTTGTTTGGCATGTAATGTACTTACCAAACACTACGTTTTTGGAAGTGATCTTGTGATGTGTGTTTCATATTTTAAGGAAAAGAAATTAAGCACTTTATTGTAATGAGTATATTTCTATTTATTTCTTTTTTACATAATTCACTAATATGTCCCACATGAGGCGCACAATGTTAACGTAACAATCTTTTTTTCCCCGCTTAGTGAAGCCATGTATTGCCAATATACAGTAAATTCCCTCAACTCAACTTTATTACAGACTCTAGGACCAATTTGAAAATAGACAGACACACAAGACAAAAAATAATTTTTGAATTAGTCATACCACAGTGGGTTTTCTATTTTCTTATTATAATGACGATACAAACTGATTAGAAGTTTCCATCCCCCAGGTCCCCCTTTAACATCCATGGCAGCATGGAGTTGTTTTGTGGTGGTTGTGGATGAGGCTCTTTATTCTCTCTGATGATTAAGCTGCCTGATCATCTCGGGAAAAAAACCATACCATAAGGGCTTTGCCCTTATGGTAAAGTAGTCGACGCCTTTTTTGTGAGCAACAAACATTTTTGAGAGGATTTGGACAAAATGCTATAGCCCAGTAAGCAACAAATTCAATTTTGGAGACGTTTTCAAAGAATTGACAGTGTGGCTCGAGGCAGAGGAGTGTTTTTATGGTTGGTGGGGTTATAATTTGAAATGGGAAAACAAAAGCTTTTGTTTTCATTCATAATCTCCGAAATACAGTCAAAATTATGTCCTTTCTGGCTGGGTGTGTAAACTTTCAAGTGCAACTAAAATTCATACTACTTACAATTCATACTTTGTTAATTCATATATAATGTAAAGCACATCCCCTGTTCTGCCCTGTGTCCTCAGACCCGAAGATGACGACTTTGACATGGAGGAAGAGTTGCAGAAGCTCCATCCCCAGAGAGTCCCTCTCCGACACGAGATGGAGCCACGGAGTCGCAGAGGGCTGGTGGAGGACCCCCGGGTGTCTGTTATCCCCGAGGGAGGGGACCATGGCGACAGCGAGGAGGAGACTGACTCTGACGGACCCATTCTCTACAGAGACGACGACGACGATGAAGATGACGACGAGGAGGGACCCCCAAGTATGTGACCGATAGTTTTTGAATCCCTTTACATCAGTGCATATTACACAAGTGAATATTTAGCCTTGGAGCCGCCTGTTCTAGTAGGTTTACGATTGTTCATAGCAGTTTGTCAGGCACTATCATATCTATAAGTTCAATTCAATTCTCTTTGTTTATAAAGCTTCACGTCATACACATACTACTTTCTAAAGTTTGTGAGCGCTTTCTAAAAGGGAACTCCCTGGAAGCTGCATTAGCTCATAGGCAGAGCTCCATGCATGTGTCAATCGTATCAATTCTACCCGATAACATTTGTACAACCGGGGCGACAGTAGCTCAGTTGGTAGAGCATTGGCCTTTGAGCCTGGAGGTCATGAGTTCAATTCCCACCATGGGACCTACTCCAACTGCTCCCACTGATGTCTACTGTCGTTGTGTCCTTGGGCAAGACACTTAACCCCACGTTGCCTGAAGCCCCCGCTGAAAGACCAAGGCTGTTTCACCACTGACAGAGCAGCCATCTTCCTGTGGACTCACCCCCTGCAGAGGATCAGCGAGGGACTGGTGCTATGAGCATTGGGTGGCAGCTCTCATTGCCACCCCCCTGACCCAGAAATGGACAATAAAGGGCTTGAAAATGAATGAATGAACATTTGTACAACAAAATATGACGAGAAGGCAAGACGCGATTACGACAAATGATGCGTATGTAATGGTTCAGAACGATTACTGCTGTTTGTGCGATTTAAACACAAGAATTAGCATCTGCTGCCCTCTGCTGGATCATTGAACAAACTACAGATTTCCGCAATAGTAGATCATCGCTGTCTTGCCGTCGCTCTCAGTTCTGTGATTATTTCAAATCCATGGAAACATTTCGGTCCCATTGATATGTTGATCCTTATTTTTAACCACCAGTGCCTAAAATTAACCAACATACGATTCTTTATTTTTTACTTGATTTGTTTCTTAGTATATGATAAAATGAGAATTACGCTGTATTGTACTGGCATTTTTAAAATGAAAAATATACTTAGATCTACTTTGTCTGCCTGTTTAACCATACGTCTTTTGTCTAAAGTCTGTGTATAATCGATCCAATAACAAAGGATTAGTTTTATGTATGATGAAGCTTCCTTGATTCAGTAGATGTTTATTTAGTAGTGACATGAAAAGCAAATCAGTAAAGTTTTATGTTTATCTTCCCTTCAAAAACTGAACTGATTTCACGGTTTTATGTAAGTTTTTATTCCCGGATCATGACCAAAATCTCTTTCCATAACAATAGAGTGAGGGATTATTCTTCAATAAAGTTGCGACTGGAGGTAGAAATCCAACTTCTCTGTTTGTTATGGCTGCAGCCGACTGAGGAGAGTCAAGTCGTTCTATTCTTTTGGATTGTTTTTTTCTCATTTTGTCTCATAGTTGAGGTACACCTGAAAATTACTGGCATCTCTCATCTTTTTAAGTGGGAGGACTTGCGCAAATGACAAAATACTTTTTTGCCCCACTGATACGCTGTGAAATCTTTATCCAATTAAAGTAAGAAGTCACTGGCACATTTGACTCATTGACGACGCTAATAACATGCATCAGAAACATCTTAGCTCTGTTTTTTTAGCCCTTTCAAATGCATTGACTGTAACTGCACTCCAAATAATCTCCTACCTTACATATCATATCGACTGCCTCTCTTAGGAGATTGAGAGAAGCTGATACAGTCTCCATGGTATCTCTGTACCTCCATTTTTATGTTTGTAAATAGTTATTAAAAAGAAAATCCACCTCAACAAATTCTTACAGCGACGTTGACAATGTGCAATTTGGTCTGCCTGGAAGAACGACTCAGACGCTGTTTTATCTCTCCAATTCAGACTGTGACTCTCGACTTTTAATGTATTCCTTTCAACTCGTGTCTTGTTTGTCCCTCCTGGAGAAGACACCTCAAAAGCTCATTCAAAGGAAGCCGTCATTGCACGTCACACGTATCAAATGGAAGACGGCAAAACAGTTGTCAGAGCCGACAGAGAAGGCCATGTGTTCTTTAGTCCTGACGGCAAAGGCAGGAACTATTCATCTGAAATGTTTTGAGCCAGTGCAGAAAATCTCTCAAAATTATATATTTTTTGTCCAAAACAAATTTACAATGGATACTGCGACTCGCATCTTTCTGTGTTTGATAAACCAACGTTGTGGCAGGCCAATGTGAGTGACAAAAGAGACTGGGTGTTGTTTTCTGCTCGAGAAAGCCTTTGTAATATGTACTGGTCACGATTGCAAACTGCATGACAAAGACATCGCCTTCTAATCTGGACACATAACTAAATTTCACACGGAACTGGAAAAAGTATACTCGCTACCAATATCAATACTACAAAATATATGTTTTATTTGGACAGTAAACAGATTTATAACTCAAAATAAGGCCACACAAGGTTTCAGTTATGATATTACCTAATTTCTTTGTAAATAAGGGTTTGTCCTGTTAATACGCATTTTTTATGTATCTCAAATCTACACTTGCTAAGATTAGTATCTAATTTCTATACTAGGTTTAGTATCTTATTCCAGTACATGTAAGAAGCATTTACAGCTTCTTATTTATAATATTTAGTGTGCTCCTTGTGTGCTCTATATGTGCGCGTGCAACGCCAATTTCCCCGACTGTGGGACAAATAAAGGTTCTTATCATAACTTTTTTTTTTTTTGACACGTTTCACAACCCCATTGACGTTTGCATAAAAGAGTAGCATTGCTTGAACAAATTTTTCCAAACCCTGCAAGTGGAATCTCTATCCATGGGCGTCTGTGGTTATCGTGTGCCCTGTTGTTGCAGGCGGATTGGCGAGTCGAGTGAGGAGGAAAGACACACTGGCCATGAAGCTGGAGCGGCAGGAGAGACAGGAGCGCGAGGAGAACCAGGAGAACCACGACTACACCAGCTGGAACAACCAGGAGCAGTGGGTGGCGGTCCGGAGCAAGATCAGCTCTGCTCTCACACGGTACGCATCAAATGTCCACATTCACAAGGTTTTCTCATTACAGCAGGTAGATGAAAACTTTTGGAAGATCTTTTAGTTCTATTATCTATTTTCTTATACATTTTGATTCACATTTCAATTGTAGAGTTCGTGTCACTTTCAAACAAATGCAATCAGTATTGCAATATTTTTCAATTCAATCGATACAGTAGAGCAAAGTATTGCAATATTTACTTAAATATTAATCGCTTTCGGTGGGTGGAGAGGTCCTTCCTCAAGTGGAGGAGTTCAAGTATCTCGGGGTCTTGTTCACGAGTGAGGGGAGGATGGAGCGCGAGATTGACAGGCGGATCGGTGCAGCGTGCGCAGTGATGCGGTCGCTGTATCGGACCGTTGTGGTGAAGAGGGAGCTGAGCCGAAAGGCAAAGCTCTCAATTTACCGGTCAATCTTCGTTCCCTCCCTCACCTATGGTCATGAGCTTTGGGTAATGACGAGATCGCGGATACAATCGGTCGAAATGAGCTTCCTCCGCAGAGTGGCTGGGCGCTCCCTTAGAGATAGGGTGAGGAGCTCAGTCACACGGGAGGAGCTCGGAGTAGAGCTGCTGATACTCCACGTCGAGAGGAACCAGTTGAGGTGGCTCGGGCATCTGTTCCGGATGCCTCCTGGACGCCTCCCTGGGGAGGTGTACCGGGCACGTCCCACCGGGAGGAGGCTGCGGGGAAGACCCAGGACACGCTGGAGGGACTATGTCTCTCAGCTGGCCTGGGAACGCTTTGGGGTCCCCCCGGACGAGCTAGAGGAAGTGTGTGTGGATAGGGAAGTCTGGGCATTTCTGCTTAGACTGCTGTCCCCGCGACCCGGCAACGGATGAAGCGGAAGAAAACGGATGGATGGATTTATCGCTTTCTCTTTTTTGTGTTTTAACTGAGTTTCTCTGGTAATTTAAATCTGAGGTTTATGCTACTGTTGTTTCTGCTTTTTGTGACTCTTGTCTGTTTATTTGAATAATCTAAGTGATGTTCTGAGAGCTCACGTTCATGTGAGAGGTCGTCTAATCAGAGAATAATTATGTCTGTCTGTAATACGGTCCTGTGTCCTGAATGTTCAACGATATATATTTTTTTTTTTTTTTTATTTATTTATTTGACAGGGACAGTGTACATTAATCAACATTTCTGTAAATGCACCGGAATTAGCCAAAAGGCTATTTTTCATCCGTAGTCCCTGGACAGATGTAAAAAGTCTCCCTAAGACAATAAAACAATAAAACATTACGGTCAGTGCAATAAAATACAAAGTAGGACACAGTCACTACACTATACAGGTTATATACAAATACAAACAGTGCAAACAATAAGAATCATAATACAGACAGGGGTTAATGACTGCAAGACTGTTGAGTAATGAACCAGTTCTTTAAATGTTTTTTAAACAGTATGTTAGTGGACAGATCTCTTATGTTAGCTGGGATGGAGTTCCAGTCTTTGGCTGCAGTTACAGAAAAGGTGTTCTGACTAAAGGCACTTTTCCTAAATGGAACTATGCAGTCTCCTCGAGCTGCTCCTCTAGTCACCCGCTGTAAATATGTGGGGTTTCTGATGCTGACAAACTGACTGAGTGGGGGAGATGATTGGTTGTGGATTATTTTATGTATGAGGCAGAGGTTTGAATACTTAATGAGATTTTCCCAGCTTAAAAGTTTGTGCTTTTGAAGGATATTGCAGTGATGATACCTCATTGGTTTTTTGTCCAGAATTTTTATTGTCCGTTTGTAAAGTGACTCTAAGGGCTTTAGTGTTGTTTTATTTGCTTGAGACCAAGTTGTTAAACAGTAGGTTATGTGCGATAGGACCATGGAATACATGAACATTTTTGCTGCTTGCAGAGAGAGTTGAGACCTGATGAACCGGAAGTTGGAGATATTGAATTTGACTTTATTGCAGACTTTGTTAATTTGGGTTTTGAATGTTAGGTTTGAGTCTATTGTAATTCCAAGATATTTGTATTCTGACACCACTTGCAACTTTTCACCTGCCATATAGATATCTGCTGTTGAATTTTTGACGTTGGACCTTGTAAAGAACATTGAGACAGTTTTATTGATATTGAGTTTTAAACAGGACTGATGTAACCATTCTGTAACATGAGCCAAAGACTGAGAGAGTTTATCTGCCACTTGAGTTGGATTTTTGCCATGTGTGTAAATAACTGTGTCATCGGCGTACATTTGAATGGAGACATTGGAACAAACAGAGGGAAGGTCATTTATGTAGAGTGAGAAGAGCAGTGGACCCAGGTTGGAACCTTGTGGTACTCCTGTCTTTAAAGGAAGGGGAGGAGAGCTGAAATCATTGATTTTGACAGACTGCGACCGATTTGTTAGATATGACTCAAACCATTTTGTAGCTTCTGGTGAGAAATTGAATGTGTTGAGTTTTGTGAGCAGTATATTATGATTTATTGTGTCAAAGGCTTTCTTTAGATCCAGAAAGACGGCCCCAACCACACCACCTTTGTCCAAATGTTGCTTGATTTTTTCAATGAAACAACGATAATGTTTTTGCCCTACCCCCCTAAGTGTTTGCTCTTCAGTTAATGTGCAGACCATAATAAATGCGACATTTTAGTTCCATCCATCAATTTTTTCCCCTTTAATTTCTGGGTCGGGGGGTGGCAGTCAGAGCTGCACCCAGTAGACATAGCACCAGCCCCTCACTGCAGGTGGTGAGTCCACAGGAGCCTTGATATTTCAGCAGGGGCTTCAGGCAAAGTGGGGTTGAGAGTCTTGCCCAAGGACACAACGACAGCAGACATCAGTGTGGAACGTGAAGTAAATCTTGTGGTGGGCATGAAACCCACGACCTTCAGGCCCAAAGGCCAATGCTCTACCAACTGAGCCACTGTCGCCACTTTTTAGTTGAGAAGTCTTTTTTTTCTTCAATGCCATTGAATAAAATGAGGGACAATCGCAGAATCAAAGTGCAACACTTGCGGTATTGCAATATGTTAAGAATCGCAATGATGTTGGATTGTGGCTCAAATATATTGCCAACTCCCACTCCTAAATCATGATATAAAAGAATGAGACAAATATTTTGGAGAAAATTCATCGCATAAATGTTTTAGATATTTTAAAAGGACGTGTTCCATTCATAAAATACATGGATTTTCACCTTCACAAATAAGTGAAAAAGTAAAGCTTGAGTCTGCTGTTGATGCAGCCACAAGGTCAGAGTGCAGAGTCTTCTGTGAGGTGTCTTTACAGAGGACTAAAATAAATGTCCTTCAATGTCCCGGATCATCACTGTCCTGCATCTGCAAGGAACAACTCAAAAAGAGGAAAAAAGTGAGAAACCTTGGAGGCCCACATTGAGAGAAGGATCAGGACTTTCATATGTGAGTCTTACAGCTAAATCTTACAAGCCTGCTTTAGATAAAGTAAAAGTAAATTCAATTAAATTATTTTTTTGTATTGCCCTAAATCACCACAGTAGTCATCTTGTCCATTCCCCAACACAGATCAGAGAATCAAACAGTTCAAACACAAGAAATGCAATGATAAAGAACACATAGGGCCATTGGTCCATAAGACGATCAATGTCCATAAGTGTTGTTGAATGTGGAGTGTCCTGGATCATCACCACCTGCTTTTTTTCTGCTGACACAAACAAATGGTAGTAGTTTATGTTTAAAAACTACTACCAGCTTCATTGGAGAATATGGAGGACTTTCCTTACAATTTATTTTCACTTTTAGAACAATTAATCTTCAATAAATGAAACCTGAATGAAAAAAATCGGTAGTGTAAAGATTAACGTTATCTTTTGAAACCTTTCCACCTATTGTTGTTGTTTGATCATCAATCGCTCTCATTCTGATCTGCGCCTCCTCCTCGTTCATCTACAATCCCCCCATCTCTCACGTCTCCTGACCCATTCTGCAGCCAGAGTAATTTTCCCCCCATTACCCAAAACCTCCTCCTCCGTCTTGTAGATAAAAACTCTGCCGCCCTCCCTTTCACTCTCAAGTCTCTTGTGATGATCCATACGAGCGTGTGACCGGTGTGCTCTTGTCCCCAGGCGACTGAGTCAGAGGCCCTCAGCCGAGGAGCTGGAGCAGAGGAACATCCTTCAAGGTGAGACCCGGACGACTGCTACAGATGCTTTTAGATCAGACTCGCATGGTCAAAGGAGACGCCTAATTTCTCACCACGTCAATAAAACTCATCAGTCATTCATGCACAGAATGTTCCGGCATCGTACTGTCCCCAGCCACAACTCTGAAAACTTCATAGAAAAGATACATACATGTTTAACTGTACTCTTTGAAACCCACTTTTAGACTGACTTGTCAGTGTGTGTATATAAAGTTCTATAAGGACTAAAATAAATGTCCTTAAATTTTCCCGATCATTACTGTCCTTCGACCCTTCGGCATCGGCTAGGAATATGTTTGAACATGTGTTTATCAAAGTAGTTTTAATAACCAGTAATGTTTATGAAGATCACTTTGTTATGGTCAAAAGTATTGAATGACAAATGTTTACAATCTGACCAGAAACATTAGCGTTCCGTACAGACTTTTCAGACACAAATATATGCATGCACTAATAAGTTGCCAGCTTGATTCCAGAGGTTCTGAGCTTTACAACAAGGTACAGAATGTCTATATTAGTGAAGCTGAAGTTGGCTGAATGACACTGTGAACTTGTGTTTATGATCTAATTGCCTTCTGGCTTTGCAAGGCAGAGGGCCACATAACATGTCACAGAGGACCGCATTTGGCCTCCAGGCCTTAGTTTGGACATATAGAGAATTTCCCCCAAAGATAGTTTCCATACACATTAACCGTCTTCGTTATCGCTCGTCTATAATGGAACTCAATCATTGGTTCTTTAATGTTTCTCCTCACCCGTTTCTGAAGCTGTCCATTGTAAAAGCCACATTTTAATCTGCTGCTATGACTTTGGAAAAACGTGTTTCTCCCTGGCTCGACGGATGACTTTCTGTAGACTATATAAAGTGTTTGCTCTGACATGATGATTTGGTTTCAAAGTAGACCATTCGCAAATCTCATAAAGTTTAGTGGGATTGTTGCCGTTTTTCCCTTATATGGACTCGGCCTGCGGGTTCTCTCTGATTCCCGGAGCCTTGGAAGTTCAATCTGGTGCCAAACATCCTTCCATTTAAGAAAGAAAAGGAAAGTCTAGAATCCGTCAGCAGGTTTTGATCCCGTCTCCCCTCTCCTCGTACCTCACGCGTCCCGGGATGACTCAGCCCCCCACCCCTTTCTTCTAATAATAATGATAATGCTTGCTTTGTGCTTAGACTCGCCTAGACAGCGGCTCAGGTGAAGGCGCTCTGAGTGGACGCACTGTTTTCTCTCCCACTCACGGAATGTCTGTTCTCTTTCAGCCAAGAATGAAGCGGACCGGCGGCTGGAGCGCTGCGAGATCAAACGGCGACTCACCAGGAAGGTCAGCAGCGAGCAAAGGCCACGCCCACAGTCACACCAGACACTGGGAGCGCACTGGTCCAGAGGGTTTTTATGGAGGTTCTGAGCTGGGGAGAAACAAAGTCAGTGTTGGCAAGCTAACTCTAGTACTCCCTATGTCAGATTCAGATGTATTTATTTGTCATTTGCAGTAAAACCCCATTGGAATAGACCAGCTAATTTACCGTTTCCCTTAATTAACCATGATTGGTCCAAAACAAAGACTTTACAAGTTCAAAGAGACCATGTGAATGACACTTTTTTATTCACCAGTAGTCTTACCACCATGTAATCATATTCAATAGTATTTAGTGTATGTTTTAATCTAATGTCAAAACCCCTCAATCATAACAAAGATAGCAGTTAAAACATCTTACTCCTTTCCTCTCGGGTGCTCCAGTTTCCCTCACCACTATAAACATGTATAAATAGTCCTCCCTAACACCCTCTCCAACCTCTTTCTTTCCTGGTTAAATAAAGGTATAAAATAACATAAAATAACATAACAAGTTTATGACATAGTGTATGCGCATTTTTATTTGTGAGCCACAACTACATCGATTTATGCCACAAAGAAAAAGATTAGCTGTAATATCTTTCTCTTTTGTGAATGTTCTGTGAGAGAATGTGCTCTGGATACAAACAGGAGTCTGCTCAGATGAAAGATAAAATAGTCTTTTTGCCATTTTCTCCACCGCATCATAACCGTAGACTAAGCTGCCTGTAAGGGTGTGATGTTCGTAAAGGCCAGACACCGTTCATTTCACCGATCATTAAGGACTCTCAGTGAGAAGTGTGGCCTTATGTCATAATGTCACGTCTTGAGTCGAGCTCTGGGCGTGTGCAAATCTGTGGAATACACTTTGGGGTGGACACACAAAAGGAATCTCTACTACATATTATAGAGACGATAATGTATTAATGATAAGTTTACTTACTTAAAATGTAATTCAATATATGTATAAAAACCATTGACTTTTCTGGAAAAGCCAGTAAAGGAATGTTTATTTTCTACAGTCATTATGAACAATAGATATTTCAAGAAACAAAACACGAAATTGTGTATATTATGTTGTGCATAGTCACATTACAGTACAAAGGAGAATTTAAATATTGTTTTCAAGCTTTAAATGCCAATCCAATGTAAATTCCGTGTTTTCTTTCATACAAACAAAACCAGCATTTATTCAGTTTTGATTCAAACAAAAAATCAGTTATGCATTAAAATTAGCAACAATTAAGTGTGTAACAAAGTGTGTGTTGTGTTTTGTGTGCGCTCGTGTAGCTGTCCCAGAGGCCCACTGTGGCCGAGCTCCAGGCCCGAAAGATCCTCCGCTTCCATGAGTACGTGGAGTGCACACACGCCCAGGACTACGACCGCAGAGCCGACAAGCCCTGGACCAAGCTCACGCCCGCGGATAAGGTGAGCGCCGCACCGCCCACCTCCTCCCAAACATCAGCCACCTCAGCAGCGGCACTTTAGCCAAGTTTCAGGAGAAATGCAGAACAATCACTTTTCTGCAACTATATCCTCCTTAAAGGAATGTCCTGGGACAGATTTAAAACGGGGCCAGGACATCAGGACTGGATCGCACCATTTGGTGTTATGTTTAAAGTTGAAAACACTATTCACATTTTTATATTTAAATTAAATTACTTCTCAACACAATTCAATTTATTTTTGTACCATCCTAAATAATAACAGCAGTCGTCAATTTGCAAACACAGATCAAAGAATCCAACAGACACTAGATCATTTATATGCATTACAAGAACTCACACGCCAAACTAAAACTGGGTCTGATCCAGAACTAAACCAGAAAAAAAAAAAAAAAAAAATCATGAATAGTTCATGTCATAACAGTCCTTGTAAGTGTTGAAACAAAGTGAATAGTTTAGTTTAGTTCATATCACTCACCCTCACCCAATTTCATTACAGGACACATAAAGTATTCCCCCAAGCTCATCAAACAGCCAGTCTCCAGTGAAACCAATTTTAACAATGTTGTTTTCATGTTGAATTAATTTGAGTTCAACATTTTGGCATTAATATCAGCTCAAAATATCAGTTTCAGCCTCCTTAACTGCCATGCAACCTCTACTGTGGACCAGATCAGATTTGTTAGTGGATCTTATTTAGCCCTCGGGCCTTAAATTGAACCGGTCTGGCAAAGCCTTTTTATGCAATACTTCCAAACAGCCAAAATGGACATTGGAAAAGCAATTACAGCAGTCTCCAACCTGAGACTTGCGAGGCACCATTCGCTCCTCACTAGATTTAGATTTGGATTTGGACGCATCCATTTTGCAGTCATTGAAAATAGCTTTGTGAGCTCGATATGGATGGATTTTAAAACGCACAAACACATAAACTACATTTCTTTTGACCGCTTAAGGGAATGCATCACTGTTGTTTTTGCCCCCTTCAAAAAGTAGCTTCCTTGAGTGTCCCCAATCTCCTTCACTCTACTGCTCAGGGTCCAAGCTGTGTCCAACCTCTGCCCCCATATGTATGTGCTCCCTCTACAGGCTGAACACTGACACTGCATCCTTGGAGGAATCTAACCAATGTGTTCAAGTTGAAACACGTTTTGCCAAATTTGAGCAATATTTGACTTATAATTGATCACTTTTTGCAGTGTATACAGAGTGTGAAATAAAAGCGGGCGCAAACTTTACTTTCAACTAAATCCTGCGCTATTTTTAGCCTGTTTTCCAGCCACACGCACCTCAAACGCCGATCAAACACTCACTTTCATCTCTCTTCCCTCTTCTTCTCTCCATCCTCTGCTGTGAAGAGGTTTTTATTTTTTTCTTGCCTACCTCGCTGACGTTCAAGTTCTTTTTATGTGTCGTTTCCAGGCCGCCATCCGCAAGGAGCTTAACGAATTCAAGAGTTCCGAGATGGAGGTGCACGAGGAGAGCCGCATCTACACACGGTCAGGCCACATCAATAATTCAGTTTTTTTCTTGTCTCTTTTCTTCTTCCCTTTTCTCCTCTTTTATTGTCTGTGCATCAATAGCTCACTGGGGTCTTCTCCCGCAGCTGCATGACACAATCTCTTGACAGGAGAGGAGCTAATAACACTCTACGTAAGGGGTGTCAAACCGATCCTCAAAGGGTCAGGGGCTGCGGGTTTTCATTCCAACCCAAGCAGGAGCACACCAGTCTCCATTTCCTCAAGTGGGTCCAGTCTGAACCTGAAAAATGGGTCTGGTGTGTGCTTGCTTGGTTAGAATGAAGACCTGCCGTTTCACTTCAATTTATTCTTGTAAAGCCATAAATCATAGCAGTAGTTATTTCGAAAAAGCTCTTTTTCCAAACTGTGCGGACAAAAGGCACAGTAAGCAACAGCTACTCATTGGACCTCAGTGCATAAGACTCTGTGCTCGTCTGTGTGAGTAATGTAAAGAGGTAAGAGGGCAGGAGTCCCAGAAGAGCCTTGTAAATAAAGGTGTACCAATGACACTGCCTCCTAGTGGACAGGGAGGACCATCCCACCCGAGCGTACAGCTCACAGCTACAGTTTGTGATGAACCTCAGGGAAGCATGATAAAGAGAGTCCAGCTTTTGAAGACATGAAGAGGTAGCATTCATATAAAAAAGGTCATAATCTAAGATAAAAAAGTAGCAGAGACAAGGCGCCTTTTAACCCCAAAAGAAAAACATGTCTTATTTCGAAAGAAGAAACCCAGCTTAATTTTTAATTTCCTCACAAGTGCATCGATAAAAGGTTTAAAAGTGAGGGCGTCATCAATTATAACTTCTAGGTGTTTGTATTCATGCACCACTTCAATGACATTCCCCTCAAGAGTGGAACCCACTGGGGGAGTTGGAGGTACAGTGCCTTGCGAAAGTATTCGGCCCCCTTGAACCTTTCAACATTTTGCCACATTTCAGGCTTCAAACATAAAGATATAAAATTTTAAATTTTTTGTCATGAATTAACAACAAATGGGACACAATCATGAAGTGGAACGAAATGTATTGGATAATTTAAACTTTTTTAACAAATAAAAAACTGAAAAGTGGGGCGTGCAATATTATTCGGCCCCTTTACTTTCAGTGCAGCAAACTCACTCCAGAAGTTCAGTGAGGATCTTTGAATGATCCAATGTTGTCCTAAATGACTGATGATGACAAATAGAATGCACCTGTGTGTAATCAAGTCTCCGTATAAATGCACCTGCTCTTTGATAGTCTCAGGGTTCTGTTTAAAGCGCAGAGAGAACCATGAAGACAAAGGAACACACCAGGCAGGTCTGAGATACTGTTGTGGAGAAGTTTAAAGCCAGATTTGGATACAAAAAAAATTTCCCAAGCTTTAAACATCTCAAGGAGCACTGTGCAAGCAATTATATTGAAATGGAAGGAGTATCAGACCACTGCAAATCTACCAAGACCTGGCCGTCCCTCCAAACTTTCATCTCAAACAAGGAGAAGACTTGTATATAATGAATATGATAAGTAGAGCTGGTTTGGCTCCCCATGTAAACTTTGACTCAGTCTTTAGGGGGCGCTAATGGGCCAATTTCAAATATTTCACTTTCACCTGACCTAAACCCTGGAGTTGAACAATGGATTCATGTTTAATGCAAATCAGACTTTGTTTGTGCAAACGGGAAAAAAATTAATGTTGTCAAAAACGGCAAAAAAAACCTCACATTTTGCCGCTCCGCTGCTCAAACAACGTTTCACTGATTAAAATTCCCTGAAGTCATTTTGAAGGTACATGTGTTGAGATAATTTGGAGCCATTTTGAGGCCAATCGGTGAAACGGCCAAGGAGGAGTCGCTTTCCAAGCGACATGTATGAAAATGATTGGTTTTCATTTTTCCATTTTGCAATGAAATTTATGAGCTTCCTGTTTGTCAGAGGGATTAGCCATAATAACATTTTTTCCATGTCTTGACTTGAGGAACATGTGTACCAAATTACATGGTTCTACGACAATTTTGACCTCGAACCCCTCCCATAGGCGTTTTTAAATTGGCTGTTGTAGGTGGCGCTATAGAGCCAATTTCAAAATTTTAACTTTCAAATGACCTAGACCCAAGAGTTGAACCATGGATTCAAGTTTTGTGCAAATCAGGCTTTGCTTGTGCAAACGGAAGCAATTTTTCTATTTTAAAAAAATATGCCGCTTTTTGGCGCTCCGCTGCTCAAACAGCGTTTCTCAGATCAAAAGTGTGTGAAATCAAAGTGAAATTTATGGGCTTCCTGTTTGTCAGGGGGCGGGGCCATAATAACTTTTATTTCATGTCTTGAGATGAGGAACATGTGTACCAAATTTCATGCCTATACAGCAAACTTGACCTTGAAACGCTCCCATACTAAAACCTTTGACCCCATCTGTAGGGGGCGCTAATGAGCCAAGTTAATTTATTTCACTTTCAAATGACCTAGACCCTAGAGTTGAACAAAGTATTAAAGTTTTGTGCTAATCAGACTTTCTTCGTGCAAACAGGAGCAAATTTAATGTTGTAAAAAACTGCCAAAAAAGGTCACATTTTGCCGCTCCGCTGCTCAAACGATGTTTCACTGATCAAAAATCCCTGAGGTCATTTTGAAGGTACATGTGTTTAGATGATGTGGAGCGATTTTGAGGTAAATCGGTGAAACGGCCGAGGAGGAGTCGCTTTCCAACCGACATGTATGAAAACTTTTGCTGTTCATTTTTCCATTTTGCAGTGAAATTTATGGGCTTCCTGTATGTCAGAGGGCGGAGCCATAATAATATTTTTTTCTTGTCTTGACTTGAGGAACATGTGTACCAAATTTCATGGCTCTACGACAAACTTGTCCTCCAAAAAGTCCCATAGGGGTATTATTTTGGCTGTTGTAGGTGGCGCTGTTCTGGCATTTTTTGAGTCCCAAAAAAATAAACACTAAAATATCAAATTTTTCGCCAGGTCTGATTTTTGGGCAAAATTTTACAACTTTTCATGCATGTTCAGGGGGTCAAATTAAGGCTCAAAGTGCAGAATTTGACATCTCTCGAGCAAAAACAATAGGCCCTTTCCCCGTTCGGGGCTCGGGCCTAATAATACCCCCATGGGATTTTTTCGGAGGTCAAGTTTGTCGTAGAGCCATGAAATTCGGTACACATGTTCCTCAAGTCAAGACATGAAAAAAATGTTATTATGGCCCCGCCCTCTGACATACAGGAAGCCCATAAATTTCACTGCAAAATGGAAAAATGAACAGCAATCATTTTCATGCATGTCGGTTGGAAAGCGACTCCTCCTCGGACGTTTCACCGATTCGCCTCAAAATCGCTCCAGATCATCTCAACACATGTACCTTGAAAATGACCTCAGGGATTTTTGATCAGTGCAACGTTGTTCGAACAGGGGAGCTGCAAATTGTGACCTTTTTTTGGACAGTATTAAATTTGATCCCGTTTGCACATACAAAGTCTGATTTGCACAAAACTTGAATACATTGTTTAACTCTAGGGTCTAGGTCAATTGAAAGTGAAATAAAAGAACTTGGCTCATTAGTGCCCCTACAGATGGAGTCAAAGTTTTCAGAGTTTTTCATACTAAAAACTCTGAAATAGTCTGTAGGGGGCGTTAATAAGTTCAATTAGTTCACTTTCAAATGACCTAGACCCTAGAGTTGAACCATGGATTCAAGTTTTGTGCAAATCGGAATTTGTATGTGTAAACGGGAGAAAATAGAAGGTTGTGAAAAACGGCCAATAAACACTCACATTTTGCCACTCCCCTGCTCAAACAACGTTTCACTGATCAAAAATCCCTGAGGTCATTTTGATGGTACATGTGTTTAGACAATGTGGAGTGATATGGAGGCCAATCGGGGCCTCCTGTTTGTCATCGGGTAACATTTCGGTCGTATCTTGACTTGAGGAACATGTGTACCGAATTTCATGGCTCTACGACAAACTTGACCTCTGAAACTCCCATTGGCTGTTGTAGGTGGCGCTGTTCTGGCATTTTTTGAGTCCCATAAAAATAAACACCCAAAATATCAAATTTTTCACCAGGTCGATGTTTGGGCAAAATTTACAACTTTTCATGCATGTTCAGGGGTCTTAAGGTTCAAAGTGCAGAACATCTCTCGAGCAAAAAACATAGGCCCTTTGCCCGTTCGGGGCTCGGGCCTAAAAAAAGGATTTTTTTTTTTAAACATCTCGAGCAAAAACAATATAGGTTTCAATGGCACGTGATACATCATTTTAAAGTGAGTTTACGCACGCAACCGTCACATTTTGGTGAGTGACGGGCGCTGACGCGTCCGTCACGCACCGCCACCATTTGTTTTTCACCATTGTGAAAGCAATAGGCCCTTACCCCGTTCGGGGCTCGGGCCTAATAAACAAAAAGGAATTTTTTTTTGACGTCTCGAGCAAAAACAATATAGGTTTCAATGGCACCTGATACATCATTTTAAAGTGTTTGAGTTTACGCACGCAACCGTCACGTTTTGGTGAGTGACGGGCGCTGGACGCGTCCGTCACGCACCGCCACCATTTGTTTTCACCATTGTGAAAGCAATAGGCCCTTACCCCAAAAACAGATCCCTGTGGCACCCCCTTGTGGACAGTAACAAATTCAGAGCAAAGGTCCTCATGTTTTATAGACTGGGTCCTTTTTTGTAAATAATTTGAAAACCAAGTAACTGCATTCTCTGACAATCCAATAAGAAGTAGCCTGTGTATTAAAATAGCATGGTCTATAGTGTCAAAAGCTTTTGAGAGATCGATAAAAACAGAACTGCTTTTTGTCAAGTGCTACAACAGATCTGAGAATCAAACCGTTCAAACACAAGAAATGCAAGGATAAAAAACACATAGAGCCATTGCTTGTATTATTGCTATTACTATTCTCTTGATTTAAAAACGCAACTGATCCAATTTGCGAGTTTTGCTACTACTAAAGCTGGGAGACCTAATTTCAAACCACAAACAATTGAACCCAGTGATAAAATCGATGTGACACTGTATCACTATTTTTCACATGCATCGGTTTTTGGCCTTCTGCCACATCTCTAGATCTGAATGAAAGAAGGAATTATGTTTTATAGTAAGATGAAGGTCACATGTTGTGGTCTAATTTGTTCCCAACATTTTATAATTTCATATAAACCTCTGTTTTTGAGTCAAACATATATACTGCACTGCTATAGACTCTTTTAATTTAATTGTCTTGCACAAAAGAGATCTTTTCACTTTTTTAAACATATTATCCAAATTTTCCTGTTTTTTGCAAATTCCTGAGTAATCATGCCAAATGTAAATTTCTTCCATTGTGAGATAAATAAAGTTTTATCTTATCTTACCTTACAAATACAACCACAAACTTTCAATTGTTTTTGTGAAGCCTGTTGTCGGCGATGTCCTCAAAACATAAGCTTGGATTTAGATTTGCCTTTTTTTTCTGAGAAAGTGAGACTTTGATCACATAATGGGCACAAAGACAAGAACGTGCAGCCGTTCCGAACAGCTCGCTTCACGTTCACAAAAACAAAATCTCTGCTGTAATCACTGTGAGACTTTGACAACAGCCACCATAACGATTAAAACCATATAGCTAATAACTTTTGAAATAAATTTTTTACTCATTCATTTGTAACTGAATAATGCAGTTTTTCAACCCAAAATCATCTAAGTTTGAGTGTTATCATTTTTTGTTATCATCTGTTGAGTTTCTAGTTAGTTATCCAGGACTATACTGTGCACGCCGTCCACTTCTGACATCACTCTTCCCTTTTGTGTTTTCTCTCTCAGGTTTCACAGACCGTAGCTGTCGGGGCAAATCACCGAAGCACTTACCCAGGGCGAAACTCCCACACTGGAACCGAACGGGCCGATCCACATTCCTGCTTCTACTACTATTACTACTCCTACTACTAATGCTACTACTGCTACTACTACTGCTGCTACTGAGGCGTATAGAAAGCAGTTCAGAGGTGCCAACACAAAGGGGGAAATCTCCAAAAAACAAAAAAGTTGCCTTACGAGCGAGGAGACTCCTGGTTTCCTGTAGGATAGGAAGACATGTTTTAGCACTGGTACCGTTTTTTTTTTTTTTTATTGGGATGGTACTGAACGGGTCCACGCCATGTTGGCTTCTTAGCACGCCCTAACGTTTTAGCGATACTGTTAGGTTTTTGTTTCTTGTTTCTTGTTTTTTTTATAGCTGTGATGGAATTCGATGTAACATATTATTATTATTATTATTATTGTTATTATTATTTTTAGATTGAGGACGACGCACAGCAATTATAGTATTTGTTTTAATGTTTAAATGTGTCTGGCCTTTTCCCCTGCTTGAATTGCTACAACAAATTCATGATGATTGTTGTCAAACTTTTATATTTTCCTTTTCTTTTTTTTTTCACTTCAAACCAGCCCAGTCAGCAGAATTCCTATGTTGACTTGATAACTTTGATATTGAATTTTAAACACATTTTTACATATGGTTACAGAATCCTTTTTTCTTTGTAACCGTCAGAGGACATGGTACTTACCTTCCCGAGCTCCCACGGTTATGAGATTTTAGTAACCGAGAATAAATGGCTAATCCAAATGCGTTTCCTTCGCAGAGATCGATTGACTTCACATGAATTGTATTTGTTTTATTTTTATTTTTCTTAGTTAATGCAACTCAGGTTATGCACAGAATCCGCAGTAGAGTAGAGAGATGGTAGCAAGGAGCTCAGTCACACAGGTGGAGCTCGCAGTAGAGCCGCGCTCATAGCCACGGCGAGACTAGCCGGCGGAGTATTCTAGCGTCTCGAGGATAGGGACGTGTGGGCACCTCTGCTCTGAGGACTGCCATCCCCGCGATCAGGCCCGGGATAAAGCGGAAGGACGCGTCAACGGAAGACCCTCGCGCTGTGCCATTTTGAAGTGGAAATGTCTCTTTAAACCACACCTTCCACACCTAACTGGACGTGTTATGCTAGTAGCACATCGGTACCACCATGGCGACCTCGCAACTGGTACCAACACTCACTTTTGTCAATGCAATGTGAAAAACCTCCTCGTTATCGTTCCGATCTGTAAATATCTATTTGTAAATTCCTCATTATTTTGTACGAATCTTCCCGAGCACATACCACTGTTTTTTTAATGTCGCACCTTACGTTCCTTGACTGGGTGTACAGAGAATTTAAACATTTCTTATTACTATATATATATATATATATATAAATATCTAATTGTGCTAAATGAACTGAATTTGGAAATTGTACATACTTTTTTTTTTTTCCTTTTATGGTACTGTATAAGTGCGGCTGTGTAAATCTACTGTATTTTCGGCATTTTAATTGTAAAGTCAAAGTAGTAATGGTACATATGTCTTTTTGATACAGAAATCTTTACGTTTTCTGCAAACTACACTGTAAAAATGAGAATTAAAAATTAAACCGAATAACTTGTGATTACATTTCTGAGTGAGTCCTGTCTTTTGAAGTTTGTATGTTATTAAAGGGGAAGTGCACAATTTACTTTTACCACTTTGTTGGTTTTCCCATTTCCCAATGTGAGGTTAATGCTTGAGAAATATACTTTTCCAGGTGCAATATACAGTATACAATTTAATATTAAAGAAGAAATTTTACATAATGTTTGACCAACACTGGTTTTGAGACTAGGGTAATAATATCGCGATCTCACAATTGTCTGGTAAATAAGAACCAAATAATTCAATGAGCCAATTTACTTTTCATGTTTTATAATGTGAACTAATATCTTGTATATGGTTCAACACATTTGAAGGGCTTTGCTTCTATTGGCCTGCCATATCCCAATGCTTCCACCAGAGGGAGGTGTCAATTTTTATTTTTTCATTTGAGAATTTACCGACGACAAAGTCAGTGTTGTGATGGCAAAGAACTTAATTTTATTTTGTAAAACTACTTTATGGTCAGTCATATGTTCTATAAGACAGAAAACTGTCACAGTGGTAGCTATAATACATCAACTGAATGTGACCACTTGTGGGAATCATGAATAATGAACACAGATGTGTTTATCACTGACCAAAATAAACCTATTTAAGCAAAGATAACTCCATTAAAACTTGTGATTCATGTAAAACCTTTAACTATCCAATACTAGTAGTAGTAGTATTTTTCATATCTTTTTGACGAAAAATATATCTGTTCCTGTGTTTCTCATATCAGAACACTGAAGGTTTCTGTTCCAGGTTTATTTCTGCACATTTTTGTGAGTGCTATCAGCTCCTCGTGAACCACATTTTGGAAAGTGTCAAGATCACAGAGATAGTTTCAGAGTTTCTGAGATTGCATGAAAGCAGCATGAGGCAGAAGCTTTTAGACAGAAGGGGCAGAGTTACAGGTTTGCTGCAAAAGTTCCTGATATTTGTGTGGACAGATCTAACAACTTCTGATCTGTTTTTGATCTAGATGATGATAACACGGTTTAAAGCTCAAAAAGCTTTTACATAATGTCTCTGTCAGACATTCCTCTGATAATCCCTATTTGTGTCATTGTGTGTTGATTGTAGCTTGTTTCAGTAGTTACACTTGATCATATTGTGTTAGTCCTTGAAAATGTTGATTTCTTGTGACATTACCGTTAAGGGACAATCTTCCGGACTTGTTTCTATCATGAAGATAAATATGTATTCAATCTTCATCAAATTGCTTGTACAGAAATGCAGTCTTTATAACAGTAAGCTGCTTTGACGTTTCATTACAGATCATCATTGCCTGAGAAACAGTGTGTCGCTGATGAAATACTGTCGCCTGCTGTCACTCACTGAGGTACATGGCATTGGGTATGATTGATGTTTCTGAATCTCCACAATGAGACAAATGGAACAAGCAGGTATAGCGTCTTTCAAATGGACTTTTGTTTTTTGACCCATTTGTTTTATATGTCATGATTTTTCAGGCTTCACCTTGGGAATTCTAGTCAATCCCTGTCTATGTACTTACATAGACAGGGGTTGGGGTTCTTACATAAGGCTATATTTGTGTATAGCCCTAAATCACAGCAGCAGTTATCTCGGAGGATTTCACAAAGTGGTGAATTTGCCAACAACAGATCAGAGAATCAAACAAACACAGGAAATGCATATCTGAAAAACACAAAGGAGCCATTGGTCCATAGAGAGTGAATGACCACTGTCTATAAAGGTCCCAGATCATCACTGACCTTAGACCCTCCTGTATCGGCAAGGAACAGATTCAGTTTTATTTGCCATTTGCAGTTAAAAAAACCCACAATGGAATACATTAGCAAAAGTCACCAGTGTGCAGACAAATACAGACATAAAACAACATTAAAAGACAGAAATAAAACACATAAAACAGTAAACAAGTGTCACTGTGAAATCGATCGACTAAACAGTTTCAAAACAAGTGCAAATCATTAAAGTGCTCTGTTCACACTGATAACAGCTTGTGGATAAAAACTGTTAGCGTAACGAGATGTCCTGCATCTCAGAGAGCGATATCTTCTGCCAGAGGGAAGAAGCTGGAACATGGCTTTCCCAGGGTGGCCAGAAGAGTCATTGACAATCTTAAGAGCTCTGTTTAAAAGTCTGGATTTATAAAGAACCTCCAGAACAGGAAGCTCACAGCCCACGGTCCTCTTTGCAGAGTGGAGCACCTTGTTTAAGAAACGTACTCACACACTCATAGCGCCTATTGTTAGGGAAAACTGGAGCACCTGGAGGAAACCTACGCAGACATGGGTAGAACATGCAAACAGCACAGAAAGGCCTCGTCTGGTGAAGGGCTTGATCCCAGGACGTTCTTTTGAGAATGAGAATAACAAGCTCAAACCTCTGCCCCCATGTTCGCCCTATGCAAGGTGTATGTAGAGGATGGCTTTAGTGTGGTATGAATGAGAGATCACATCTTCAGTGAATAGAAGGCCATGGTGACATTGACGCAGTGACAACCTAACCCTCTACACCACCTGTGAGTATAAACTTTTACACTTTAATAAAAATGAGTTACAAATGGCATAAAACGTCAAAGCTAACGACAAGACGCAAATGTGCAGAGGCAAATTTCAGACTGAAAGAGAAGCTGAATGAGAGCCAATCACAGTGCGTGAAAAGTTCATTATATTTGTTCATTTTACCAACATGACTTCTATTTTAGCTCTGTTTTTGTCTGCGGTGTGTCCCTGGCTAAGACACTTAACCCCCAATTTTATAAAACCAAATAACTAAATCAAATCCATGTAGCTAAACGTACTGTAGACTAAAATGGAAAGTAATTTTAGTCAAGAGTTTTTAATGGTTTCCTCAAGCATTTGGTGAATCACTTTTTGAGTCACTACATCTACCTGAAGATGGGAACTGAAATCTACCTCATTGGGGAATCTCTATCACTTGGTTTTAGGCACTTTTACCATCAAACTGCATCTCAACCAATATTTTAAAGGCCCATAATTAAAAACAAGACGGTTAAAAAAAAAGAAGAAATATTTATTAGTGCTCCTGCTTAGAAAATCAAAAACATATCTTACATTGCTTTCTTCAAGGAGTGAACATTGAAGGGTTAAGACAACAAGACTACAACATGACCACTGCCGGAAACAATAAACCTGTAGACCTGCCAACACCAGTCGTGGGCAGTGCACGTTATAAAACCCCAGAGACTTCTTGGTTCGCCCTCATTTCAGCACCTGCCTGGTTTAACACTGGGAATAATTGCTGGTGACCTGACAAGTGGCATTCCTGTGTGACCAGCTCCTGTTTGTTCTTTCTCCATTCCCCTGTGGCGCTAATTGGCACCGGTAGAAGGCCGGCGAAACACT